TATTAGGTCGTTATTGTATACTTTAACGATCGGCAAGTCAATATCCAGTACCTCATTTTGCTTCGAGGGCTTTCTTGGATCACAATATTTACCTGGAAGGGCCAAACAATCTAATATTCCATATTATATATGAATAAAAAGGATAAAGCATAAAGTTCTAGGCGTTGACCAATCCCTGAGGGATGTGCCATGTGTTCGACTTCATTAAGCATCGTTGGAGGTGACTGAATGTACGTCTGGCCTTTAGAATGATTCGCGGTGGCCTACCGAAGTATCGAGTCAGTGCTGCTATCCTCACGAACATGGTTAGTCATTCTATCGATCAGACCAACTTCTCCACAAATTTCTGGTACCAATTTCTCGACCCCGGATGGAAGGCTTGGTGAACCTGGGACGTGGAGATCGATCCTATGTGTACTGCAGGGCGCCTCCGACTACTGCGCTACATTCGCAATGAAATATAAGTTAATTGATAACGAAGTTAATCGAAAGTCGGTCTTTCGAAACCCCTCTTGTTTCACCGCTTTGATATTTGAAATGAAAGTTGCATTGGCACTGCATGAGGCACATAAGATTCATAACCACGTAAAATAACCACGAATTTGCGGCAACCGTGAAAGAGACTTAGTCCGGTACAAAATAAAAACGAAAGCTAAGATAAAACAATAAAGCTAAAATAACTATATAAAAGAGCCGCCACGAGACTATGTATGAGCAATCGAAATAACTGTGAACCATTTATGGATCACACTATTACGGCTTCTTGTAAGAACTGAATATATCAAAGATAAAGGACTAAGCGAAAATCAAAGATGAACACACCATGTTCTTCAGTAACTGACGTTATTAAGAGACAAGTTCCTTGTATTATTTTTTTCCTTTCAGAGATGCTTTCGCTCATAAAACTGCAATCGACCACTTGAAAATCTTTTCTCGTCAAACTATTTCAATCTCATTTGTAAACTAGACAGCATGAGAAATCCGAAGTTCTCGGTCTTCAAGCGGTTTCCGTTCCCCTTAGGAACGGATAACAGACACGAATTATTTATGAAAATGGTGCAAACAGTTGAACAAAGCAATGAAACGAGAATATCTACTTAAAAGAAAGTGTACATAGAAATATAACCATAATAATGCTGAGATATTTGCAAAACTCCTAACTGCCGCTCTCTGGGGTGGGGAACGCACATGCTACTACCTTTCCGCGGGCTAACGCTTCCACCACCACACCAACGAGTCCTTTGTTTCGACTTTCTCTCAACCGTCTTATTGACCTATAGTTGCTATCAGCAATCACGCGTCAACCAAACTGATCTGAGGAGCACAAATTGACACGAACAGGTCAATAAAACGGTTGAGAGAAAGGCGAAGAAAAGGACGCGTATAGTGTGGTGGTGAACGCGTAGCCACCGGAAAGGGTAATAACGTGTTCGGTCCCCACCGCAGACACCGGTGGTCCGAAGTTTTTGCAAATGTCTTAGCATCGTCATGGTTACATTTCACAATATATACTGTCATTGGAAAAGAATAGGCATTAAATAAAGTGAAGACACTGTGAATGGAATTAAGATCCAGTTGGAAGCCTTCAACAACCAAATTGTAAGCATAAGCAGTTCTTACTCTGTATGAGGACATATGTGACAAATCCAAATAATAAGAAACAATGCAAAAACAAGAAGAAAAAGAAAAATAGAAAAGCAAAGTGGTGAAAGAGACCAGTAAGGTTGACCGCTGATGAAAAAATGCGCTACCCAACGGGCTTCACGAGTCGAAATCCAGAATGTAAATGAATAGTAAGGTAGAACAATTATTTTTCTATGTTCACTACAGTTGGAGAATTCATACACCACGTGAGAAACCATTTCACGATAGAATTTTCGGTGTGGGGGTCACTTTGAAGCGAAGGACACTCACCATCAGGAGTCGGGTCACTCCACTCATAAAAAGCCTGTAATCGCTGACACAGCCAGCGTATAAAGATTACGGAAAAAACTGGACCAAGGGTTAGAATACGAAAGACAACGGTTCATATCGCTACGAAATACTGGATGTGCTATGTGCTTCAACATGAAATTCAGCTCCACGGTACGTCCTTTGAGTTAAAAGGAACAAATGGTCCGTTTCTTATTGATTTTGTTGGCTATGGAGGGTACCAGGTATTGATAGCAGCTGTAACGTTTTATCACCGACCGGAACAGAAGATGTGGAACACGCCAGCTAACCTAAGCTAGCCTTTGTTGATTAAGTCTTTATGTTAAAGGAAACAAATGGTCCGTTTCGAATCGACTTTCTTGGTTTTCGAGTGTACCGCATATTGATAGCAACCATATCGTTTTCGAATGGATAAGAACAGAATATACGAAACAGGTCACTAAACTAACCCTCGTTGATGAGGCCTTTAGGGTGAAACCAGCAAAGGAGACGCAACGTCGGGACTTCATGTCGACGAACAAAGTGTGTGTTCTGTGTCTGCTTTCTACCTTCAGCTACCGTTCTGTTTCTCCGCAAAAATAGTTTCTTGCGGTTTAAAGTGAAAATTCTGTACAATCGGTCATTCAAAGTAAATCCGCTGCTTTGTGTTTGAATGCTTATTTTTTGTTTATGAAGCCTTTACAGTTCACAACAGAAGGACGGATCTCGTTGAGAGTGCAGAGAAACCATGCTCCGGCAAAGCAGCTCTCAGGAATCCGAGCGTGGACAAGACCACCTCATAGAGGCGATTGCGTCTCAGGTCGACCATCAGACTGTTAACAGCATAATCGAGACTCAAAGGCAAAGGTGAGTCTTGCAGTGGAACCAGCACTACGGCACACAGTGAGCACAGTTTGATTTCTTGACATTTGTAGTAGTTAGTGAATACATGACCCATCTCTCCGCATTTGGGAAAAGTTTCCTTTATGAGTTATGAGCGCCACTTGTCTACTTTTTGGTTTGCCGCCTCCTCGTGGCGGGGAGGTGTTTCTGGGCATCGGGCTGCGATGTACAGCGCGGGGAATAGTTTCCACAGCAGGGTCTCCCAGGCTGAGAAGGAGTCCGGCGTTTCCATCAGGAGGACCTGCTACGAGTAAACCAACACCAGGATTCACCACCGTCTTGGTATCAAACTAGTCACGTGGTGGAAAATCTCCCTCGGTTCCACTAAGACTACGACTGCCTGTGGTGGTGACGACTTGGGACAGACTTTGGCTAGGCTGATGATACTCTAGGGAACCACAATGGCTAAGCCAGCAAAACTCTGGAAAAGTGGGAATCATTCTGGGGCCCATACAACCAGTGAAGACGGGCCATCCAAGTATCAAAGTAAGTATTTGTCTATTTTATCTTCTGGATCTAATCCGGTTCCTGCTAACCCTGAGTTCGTTGCGTTCGCATCGTTTGCATCGGGGTAAACGTTGCAACGTATCGTAGTGAAGTCAAGTGCTCACTGGAATTCATGAACACACAGAAAATTTTGCCCGTCGTCGGAAATTTTAGCGAAGGTTGAAAAGTTTTCGAGTCCAACGTGGATAAATTTTTAATATTTTTCGTATACTCCTACCAACTATCTGCTAAGGAAGTTTTCGAATTGAAACTCTTTTCAAGATACTGTTTTCAATCTTTTTTTTTCCACCTGGTTCAGTTTTTTTTGTTCTTGAGGACAGTAGATGCGGTGCACAGATAGTCCATCCTTCTGTGACATGCCGGCGAAAGTGCTTGATTCCTTCACTGACCTCAACCATTAACCATGGAGCCGATCAGATTTACCCATGGGTTTGTCCGCGGCTTAGAGATTTTTCGTCTTCTGACTATGCTAGGCCATGTCCATAGCTTCACTTGCAGTCATCTACCCTTGTAGATCGAGGAGAGATTTGCTATCGTGCCACGACGATTCTGGGACGGCAGTGATTCTCGCTAAACCAAACGGAATCCGTTTCAGAAGTGTCACATCAAATTTAGTGATTTAACAATATTTGTAAAGACTTTACACTCCGCTAGTCCGTGTTCCTCATGCGATGCAGCTACTCAGTGCGCTCGAGGAGCCCGATTAGCCCCACACTTGTTTCTGGCGAAATGTTTCCCGGCCTCCGGCCATAGGAATGAAGACGCGAGGATGCGCAAGAGTCTTAATTTATTAGTCTACTACAAAATTATACAAAATTGATGGCAGATGTATTTCGATTTTATCCTCAACACATCATTGGCGGCATTTGTTTTTGGTCTGGAGGAATCCTCTACATCCGGGACAGAGACATTGAGTGCCCTGCTCAGTGGGAAAAGCCTTCTATAGTACGCTATCTGTACAATGAGCAAGCAGTGACTGAGGAACTGGTGTTGGCAAGAAAACACATTCCAGAGCTGTTCTTCTTCTTGCAAATTTTGATTTGTACAGAATAACCATTCCCAAACGACATCTGATATATATATATATATATATATATATATATAAATTTGTAGTCGGAGAGCGCAAGATACCGTAGAAAAACTGCAAAAGAAGCAGCAAGAGAGGAGAGGAAATCTGCTGGAATTAATTCGTAGAGTCTAGTCCGCGTCCCTGCAGGTATATGTATTGAACTCAATGCATGCCGTCGCAAACATTTGGAAAAAGTTCGCATGTATTTTATTCTGTTTATGGCTCGTTCACTGCTGATATCCATTCATAACCACTAGGTTTAGTGCCTTCTTGGATTACTGAGCTGACACGGGCTTGGGACAAAATCCGGTTGTTTCGGCGTTTTTGTCTTCTTCAGAGTCGAATCACTATGTTTACTCAGTGTTCAGTCAGGTTAAGTAGAACCGAGACAGTGCGCACTGTTATCAATGTGGTCCACATTAAGCGGAGAACTAGATGTCGTTCTGTGGCCAGGAATCACACAATGTCTCGAATGTTTTCAATCAATCGTTTTGGAGTTCTTTTAGCGGAAAGTGCGATCTCTCGATACTTGCTTGGATACTTTGATGGCCCGCCCACACTGGTTGTGCGGGTCCCAGCATAATCTCCATTTTTTTCGGAGATTTGCTGGTGTAGCCATTGTGGTTCTCTAGAGTATCGAGATCAACCTAGCCAAAGTCTGCTCCAAGTCGTCACCACCACAGGCAGTCGTAGTCCTAGTGGAACCGAGGGAGATTTGCCACCATGCGACTAGTTTGATACCAGGATGGCGGTGAATCCTGGTGTTGGTTTACTCGTAGCGAGTCTTCCTGAAAAACGCCGGACTCAACCTGGGAGACCTGCCGGGGGAACGAAAGCACCCGCTGTATATCGCAACCGGACACCCAGGAACACCTAACCATGATGAGGCGGTAAACCGTTGGTAAGGTCCTCTCACTAACTCATTTAGAAATCTGTCATGCGATAGTGCCTAGGAATGCTGACCGTAATGTTGCCTACAACTACCATGGAAACTCGAAATTTCCTGTTTTCAGTCTACTAGTTAGGACAGAGTGTTCCATTATGCAAGCAAAAAAATATTACATTTTTCTTGGTGTATTGCTAATTTTCACTGTTTCCTGCACCGTCTACAAACACAGTGTTCACGGCTTTTCTTCAGTCTCCGACGATTTGAAAAAACCAACGAAATGCTGTCCAACTGTAATCACTTGAGTGAAGGACGCCTGGAACGCGCTCGTAAGGATGTAAACTCACATAAGGAAACTATCTTGCAGGTTTTACCTTTTATTTTCTGTCTACTACAATTTTCAGGGCAGGGTACTAAGCGAAATACAACCACAACGTTGCTGAGATATTTGCAAAACTCTGGACTGCAGGTGTCTATGGTGGGGAACGAACGCGTTATTGTCCTTTCCGGGGAATAACGCGTTCACCACCACACCATGCGGGTCTTTCGTTTTATCTGTCTCTCAGCTTGTGGTAATAAGGTCTATTTTGCAGGTGTTTAAAGATCTTCAGAACAATTTTATTCATGTTGACAGTGATGTTAGGCTAAGGATTTTTAGAGTTGTAAACATTCAATTGTAAATGACTTGCAGTAATAACACACAATCATTATTTATCTTAGATGAAAGCTGACTTGGAGTTCATATTCAAAAAGATTAGGCTTTTCAAACAAACACTTTCAATGAATTATCCAGAAGTGTTCAAAAAAGGTACGACACTAAGCTATTAATTATTCCAGATGGAGCACGTAACGGTAATTGCTAACTTTAGTTGAGGAACAATGTAATGCGAGACTGTACGAGAAGACAGACTGAACTGCTCGGAGATAAAGAGCAAAACACAAAGATGTCGGTGAGTATCTTCGCAAATGGGTCTACTTTAGCGCATCTTTTTGCGCGATTTTTGGCGTTCTTCTGATGAACTGCTTGATCGACTTCTCTTCCTCGATTTCTTTCGAAGATGATCATCGCTGCTATAGCAGCTACTATATTAATGGTGAAACGTTGTAATGTTAATAGCAGGTACAATACGGAATAACGTCTCACCTCCTTTTCCGATGGCTTTTTATCTTCTTGTGCTTCTTCTTCTCCTTCTTATTCTTATTCTTCTTCTTCTTCTTCGATTCTTTCTTCCGGTGTTCTTTGTCCAGTTTCCTCACTTTAACTGATCGACGTAATAAAGAAAAAAAAAAACAGCAATACTGTTAGCTAAAAACGTATACCAAGAGGAGTCTCTCCATCGCTTTCACTGCTAGTCGAGCTAATGTCAATCACAGTCGACTGACCAGGTTTTAGTTGAATATAGTTTCGACACTATGGTAGAAGGTTAAAAGAATGAATAGGAGAATATTGGAAGAATTAAGGAATACAAAAACTTTACTTGGAATGGGAGATGTCCTGGGTAGCCACACTTTCGGCATGCGCCAGTAACAACCTGTCTGACTTTTGCTAAACCCGATACATCTGAAAATTCTGATCTGAAGAAAATGTTTGCTGTACCAACGAGAACAGCCACTAGATAATGGTTCTGATAGGAAATCTTTTTTGGAGATTTGCCTTTTAAAGCTTTCGTGAAGATCGGATTTTGTATAATTCAAATAAAACTAAACCACTGAATTGTTGTACTTTTGACGATAAACTGCAAATTTTTCTTGCAAGGTAAAAGATTTATGAAGAAAATATATAACACAAGCATTCTGCGTGAAGCTGTTGCTTTCCAAAATGAATAGTAGATTCACAGAAACAGAATTCTGATATGTCCTACTTTGAAAATTAGCTCTTCGTTAAAAGTGAGAGCTATCCACGACTTCAAATCTGGTTTCACATGTTGTCACTAGAAAGTTTGCGATGGTGCTCGCTTTTTCACAACTGCTAACAGTTCTCGATAACTGTTTAGCAGAACATGAGGAAGTAGAGCTTCATAAGCTTACCCCAGTATAATTTCCATTTTTTCAGACTTTTGATGGTTTAGCGATTGTGACTCCCTGGAGACCTGAGGTCAGCTTAGGGAAAGTCTGCCTCAGGTCGTCACCACCACAGGCAGTCGCTGCCGTTGTGGATCAGAGGGAGATTTGCCACCATGCGACTAGTTTGGTACCAGGACGGTGGTGAATCCTGATATTGGTTTATTCTCAGCTGGGCTTCCTGATGGAAGCGCCGGACTGCTTCTCAGCTTGGGAGCCCTGCTGCGGGAATGGATCCACCCGCTGTACATCGTAGCCAGACACCCAGGAACACCTCCCAGTCACAATGAGGCAGTAAACTGTTGGGAGGCTCATAAACTTACAGGAGAAGAATTAAAAGAATTTGCTTATTGCTCCAAAAATGTGTGCATTTTCCTTTCATGGAATATCGTTTTGATTTTTAACGTTTTAAAAAGTTAAAGTCTTAGTAAATTGAGAAAGAAGTATAAATTTTCGAAATTTTTAACGCAACCGCGGCAAAACCAAGCATTAAGGTCGCATCGGAGACACCATCGCGCCCGTTTGGACTCAAGCCTGCTTATTCGAAAAAAAATGCTGTTCGAAACAAGAGCTCCACGAAGAATATCGAAAAGATTTGCGGTGTCTAGGAAATTAGAACTTCAATGTGGAGGGACAAGAAACCTCGCATCTTACTGCATATGTTACCCTAACATGTTTTCATTCCAATCTAGAAATTCAAAAGAAATTTGCTGTCAAGTTCGTATGGAGCTGGGAGAGTCAATTATTTTCAGCCATGTGTGATTTATGAGTTATGTGGTCCAGAGTGTGTTATGAAGCAGAATTCCCGAATCGCTATATTACCTACAGTTCCACTTATGCGTTACCCTCGTCACCATCAACGCCGCCCTGTTTCTATTGGCAATATTAAGGTGTTATCCGAAACAAATCAAACTTGTAAGAAGCTGTCATGATGCTGCGATTGTGTGTTGACAGGTTTTCACACTGTGAGGATATAAATGATTATTTTGGCCATACCTACAAAAGCATCTTCATCGTTGGCAAAGGGTACGGTAGCCGCCAATTCAGCAAGAGTCCGAGCACTCGAATTTGTGGAACCACTGAGATCTCCGAATGACCGTCTGAATGGCAGCGGCTCCAAATTTGGATTAGACATGAACTTCGCAAACTAGAATGACCACGAGCTAACATAAAGACAAACTGACCAGACTCATGGAGCCAAGATCAATTTATTTACAAGGATAAGGAAGTAGGGGAAACCAGTTTGCTTTAAGTCAACAAGTACGAAACGCTGTTTATCTAGAGAAGGAATGTTGAACCGTCGTTGCAAATGTTTATGAATTCCTTACGGTTACTTTTCAGTACTTTCTGTGGACAGAAACAAAAAGAAAATAGTTCCCAGGATCGATTTTTTATTAACCTCAGCATTGGATTATAAATCTTTTGTTCTCTTTTTACAGCAATCGCGAGGTTGTTATTCAGCACACTACTTCCTTACAAATATATCACGTGCAACATAACGGTAGCTGACGTTTCGGCAGTATCGCCTTCTTCAGAGCCTGGAAGGGTACACTAATGTGTAATTTCCTGGGTCAAACGCTTCAAAAGCACAAACAGAAAGATGGGAATCTGAACGATAATTACAAGATCTATAGCTTCTCGAAAAACTCCCCGCTTTTTTCTATTGTCTTCCACGGAGGAAGGACAGCCACTCAGAGTCACATATCTCCAATGGCTACGAAACAGTAGCCCAACGAGATAAGTCTAGAAAGAGAGCGACGTTCCGAAGCAAAATCCTGTTTATCTTGCCCTTCATTAGCGATGAAATAAGTGTAGCGATAAAGCGATGTTTAAGGAGGGCAGATCTAGAGGAATCGGTAGCGATAGTTGAAATACCACCGAACACTTTATGTCATCAGTTAGTTCGTAACCGCCTGTATGACCGTCTATGTGAAACACCAAATTGTGTAATTTGGCCTTACGGCAAAGACGGTGACTGCATGAGTTCAGGTACGATATACCTGATTTCTTGTAGTACTTGCGAAGACGAATATATCGGCAAAACGGGCAGACTTTTACGTATCCACATAAAAGGCCACCTAGACGGCAAACGAAAATCAAAACAAGGCACGCCACTGGGCACGCATAGGATACAAAAACATGTGCGGAGAAGATTTTGATGTAAAGTCACTATCCTCGCACGGGAGACTAAAACACCAACGCGCACGTATCTCGAAGCTTTTTTGATAAATTCCAGAAATCCGGGAATGAATAGCAGGGAAGAATGCCCTGAGATAACGCGTGGTCTAGTCCCGTATCTCAGAACTGATTTTTGATGTGGGGTGGTGCAGCAATCAACCATATGGGACTCTAAGCGGCTGTTCGTCGGTGGAAGGCAGGTAAAAGAACGGTGGATTTTTCGAGAAGCCGGTGATTGTGTAATTATTGTTCAGATTTTCATCTTTCTGTTCGCGTTGTTGAAGCGTTTAACCTAGTCAATTACATATTAGTGTACCCTTCCAGGCTCTCAAGAAGGCGATACTGCTGAAACGTCAGCTACCGTTGTTGTATGTATTATATTTGTAAGGAAGTAAAGGTGTGCTGAATAACAACCTCGCGATTGTTGTAAAAAAGAGAACAAAAAGAGAATACTTAGAAACAGAGGCTCGCTCTCCAAAGGGGAGACTGGTAGCTTACTACATTCTGTGTGTTTATGGAAAATACATAAAAAATGAAGCTCTTGGCATTGATCTATCCCTGAGGGATGCGCCATGCATTCGACTTAATTAAGCATCGTTGGAAGTGATTGAATGCCTCTTAAAGGGCGCGTGTAGCGCAGTATTTGGAGGCGCTCTGCAGTACACATGAGATCTCTTGCCCCAAGCTCATCAGAACTTCCAGCTCTCCAGAGTCGGCAAATTGGTACCAAACTTGTTTGTTAGAATAGTAGCACTGACACGATGCGGTAGGCCATCGCGAGTCACTGTAAAGATCAGATATACATTCAATCACCTTCAACGATGTTTAATAAAGTCGATTGCATTTCGCATCCCTCAGGGATTGATCAACGCCAAAAGCTTTATAATAGAAAGTATGCTTTCGATACATCAGTATTACAGAATATAGTAGAGAGAACGTTGCAAAATGATGCATAGGAGAACCAGGAAAGATGTGAACAACACCTCGAAAACGAACAACATTTCCAAATCTATGTGTCGATTTTTTATTAACTTATAACAAATGTACAAATTTACACAAGGACCTGACGATACGATAGATTACACATTTATAGGGTATTGTAGGATCCTGGAGTATACACACTAATAGGTAGCGCAATGACGGATGAAGTACTCGCACTTGGTCCAATTCTCGCAACAGAGTTTGCTGACGAACCCTACAACAAATACAATCTCAAGATCTGGTCACACAATCTTCAACTCGACATTTTCCTCCCAGGTAGCAAGTTTCCACTGAACTGCTCCCTTGCTTTCGTCACTGTCATTGTCAAGTGTTGAACGTCATACCTGCTCTTGGTCCTTATCCATTGTTTCCATTGGTTTAAACATCAGTTTCTCTCGTAGTTTATTGTATTCGCTAATAAAGTACTCCATGTCATTATGATTAGCACATGTGAAAAACTGTAATCTACATGCTAAAGAATATATTTTTGCAAACATCTTGGGCTAAGAAAGCTGTCTTACAAAAGTAATAAAAGGCATGAAATTTAAACCTTTACCTCATCAAAACTCTTCATGAGTCGTAAGCAAAGAGCATGTCCCCAAATATGGCCAATTTGAGCGATCAATTTCAGCAACTGATACTTAATAGACCGATCTCCCTATAATGAAATACGAGCGGCTTTCTGAAGAACGATAAGGTAGTGTTAGTACAAACCGTAAGTACAATACAAGAAGAACCAACCATCAAATTTTTCACTAGTACTTGCTCAACGATAACCGTGTAAAGTGGGAAGTCCAGGAGGACTGTCTCAAACTGATTTGAATGAATTAGACGGTGAAAGAGCAAGTGACACCAAACTCCTGACGACGCCACCTACAGAAATACTTTCGGCTTTTAACCTTCATCGCAAATTAATTAAATTATTTAGTTATATTCACTTGTACAGTTTCTATGACAGAAACAGCACCAAGTCCACATCAAGTGCTTTTAGACGACAGAATTCATTTCAACCTTTTACGAAGAAAAGACGGTGTATGATGATATTTTAAAGCCTAGTGATGCACGACGTGTCGTAAAGGTAACATATCCGGCTACACTTAAAACCACCGCCCTTGGACTCATTTTCAATCGAAGAAAGGTTTATCTGTAGAGGAAGCTCCTGTTCGGTAGTATACCGGTAATTTAGAGGACTTCATACGGCACATTTGCCACATTTCTTCCAATATAGTACCTCCCAAATAAATAATCACCCTATGCCTAACTTGGGCATGGTTTTACTAAATCTTTGAACGGCCCGTCTTTCACGTCTACTGTGAAGATCCTAGCACTTATTGAATCTTATTCGTCTCCTCACATCCGTCCTGTGCACGATGGTCCTGTGACCTTTTGAGTGTGCCCCCGGCTGCTGCTTGAGGATTTTCCTTCCGTTATAAATGTTTTTGAATGCTGGTCGAGTGGATTCTCCATGGAAACCTGAGAGCTAGGCTACAACGTTCCCACATGGATTTCAGAGAGTCCATCTTTTCCAGACAGGTCTGATTTTTTCGAATTTCTCGACCTCGGAGGAATGCAA